GCTTGCGAGACAGGCAGCAGAACCATGAGCTAAATCCCTGGCCCTGCTGCATATACTTCTAATGGAATTTTTAATCTCCGGGATATGTTTTAATCTGTTTTTTGGATTCTATTTCTTTCCTATGTTAGATGTTCATGGTTTCCATCATTTTCCTGAGTTCCTTTATGTTTTTAATCTGTTTCTGCCACCTGCCCTGCCCTGAGTGGGGGTGGGGGACTAACTCTGAACCTTGTGCTTGCCAGGCAGGCTCGGCACCACTGAGCTACATCCCCAGCCCTATCTGTATCTGCTTCAAAGTCACTGCACATGTTTTTCATTCTGGTCACCATCTCTGTAGTTATCTGAGAAATTCATTCTGCTTCAAATTTTTCTAGAGCCCCATTCACCTACTTTGTTACTTTGACTGTTACTATTTCAGAGAGCCCAGGTGGGTGGCTTTTGGATTGTTCCACTTCCTTTCCCCTTGGGTTTGCCTCTGGAGAGCTGAAAGTCTGAGGGGGTTGCATCTTGTTTAAATGTCTTCTCATTGTCTTTCTTTTTTAAATTTTAGTTTAATTCCTGGGTTGATGCTGATAGCTTGCTTATAGCGAGTAGCTTTATTGTTAGTATTCAGAACACAGAGGAATGACTACTTCTCAGAGGTGTCTATTATAGGTGTAGATGACTTTTGAGTCTGTTACAAGATCCTGTTTCTTCATTTTACTGGGAATGGGAATTTTCTGCCTACTTGGCCCAGAGCTTGGTTGTTTGGCACTGACTGGCTTGTAGTATTTTTTAAGAGCCCCTAGGCAATCTCAGTCTTGGTATACTAGGAAGAACAGCTGATTATACAATTATGTCACCTTGGTTAAAGTAGTATAGTCATCAGTAACAATCACATTGAATACAGTCTAGAAAATGACAAACTGTGGTAACTATTAATTTGCCACCTTTAACCATCTGATGTAGGTTTGTGGCTATATAATAAAATCTAGAACAAACCAGAAATTGTATGCAATAGATCAGCCCTCAATATGGCAGTTTTACTCTTAAGGGGAAAAGGTTTAGAAGGGATTGGGGGCGGGGTGTAGATAGAGAAATAAATGAAGAGTTTAGAAGCAAGCCTGGAGGACAAAGGAAGACCATCCAGACTTTGAGAAACTGGTGAGGAACACAGGCAGGAAAGAGAGAAAGAAAAATAAAAATAAGAACAGAACAACAACAATATCAATAATAATAATAATAATAATAATAATAATAACTAGAAATCATGTTCACACACATTAAAAACAAGATCAAACAGTCAAGGGCCAGGGATTTAGCTCAGTGGTTCCGCCGCCTGCCTTGCAAGCACAAGGTCCCAAGTTTGATCCCCTGTACCAAAAAAAAAGAATAAACAAGAAAAAAATAAAAGAACAAGAATAAAAACCAGAACTGGGCATGATGTTGCACACCTATAATTCCAGTACTTGGAAGGCAGAGACAGGAGGATCACCTGAAGTTCAAGGCCAACTTGGGCTACCTAGTGAGTTCAGGGCCATCCTGAACTACAAAGCGTTACCCTGCCTCAAAAAAAGATATGTCTCTGCTGTCACTGGCAGACAACACAGGCTGACAGATCCAAGTTGTTTAATCCTAGCAAGCCAGCCTGTATGGGGTAATGGTTAATCCCGGCAAGCCTGGACCTTTAGTTCCACTGAAGTTCAGGCAGGTTTCTGGCTGTGAGGCAGGGACCAGATTTTTGAGTCTTCCACCTGCTGGACTGAACTCTGCTCCTGACCTCCTGCCAACTTGAATTTGGCACCTTCACCCTGACATCAGGAACCATTAGATGGAGCCAGCTGTAGTTGTTCTGAGTGCCAAGCTCAGTTTTCCCCTCTCCAAGATGGCTACCAGCCAGTCACCCTCTCTTGGGTAGTGTCTAAACTGGAATAACAATCTGCCGCTGTAGTCCGCTGTGTCCACTGCTCCATTCCACTGGTGCGTTTCTCTCTGGAGGCCTCTGGGGTCGCCAGTAATCACCATATGTCTTCAGGTTCAACCTATGCTTCCCACACTGTGAGTCCAGACTGGGGCAAAGTGCCACCTGCCACTTCCCTGTTTGGTGTTAGTCTGTCTCTTTGATCTCTCCCCATGGACTTCAACTCTCGCTTCCTGGTTCTCGGAGCCCATTTCCTGCCCCTCCCCCCCCCTTCTGCCCCTTGCTTTGAATACACTTATCACATCGTTCTTGGCAGTTCCTGAACTCTACTTCCGTGCCTTTAGTTGCACTGCCATGGGTACTGAATCAACTAAAAATGTTTAGCTTTCATGGTCATTTTGACTTTGGGAAAGAGCCAGAAGCCACATGGTGGGAGCTAGGTCTGGTGAATGGTGGGTGAGACACACCATAATCTTTTTATTTGTCAGAATTGCCATGAACATTTCAATCCCTTCAGAATTTTGAGGCAGCCACAAAGACACTCACAGAAGAGGACTTCTAGAACTGTTTCAGGCAGTGGCAAGAATGATGGATGGGATAGCTGTGTTCAGAGTGAGAGGAGGGAGTGTTTTGAGGGGGTTTCATGGCAACGTGTCTTTTTTTTTTCGAAACAGGGTCTCACTGTGTAGTTGAGACTGCCCTGGAACTCACTGTGTAGCCCAGGCTGATCTCGAACTTTAGTGATCCTCCTGCCTCATCCTCCCAAGTGCTGGTATTACAGGTGTGCGTCACCACGCCCGGCTCTCACAATGTATCTTTTACTGTAATAAAAACTTTTTAATATTCACTATATATATTTTTTTACTGCAGCTCATAGAATTTTAGCAGCTTTATTATGAGTTCAGTAGCTTTTTAAAATTTAGTCGTTTTTTTTTAAAGTAACTGTTTCAGGCCATGGATGTAGCTCAGTAGCTCCTCACTTGCCTGGCAAGCACAAGGTGTCCCAAGTTTGATCCCTGGTACTGCAAAAAAAAAAAAATTTTTTTTTTTTTTTTGGTACTAGGAATTGAACTCAGGACCTTGGACTTGTGAGGCAGGCTCAGGCAGCCGAACCACTGAGCTAAATTCCTGGCCCAAAGTGTTCCCTTTTTAAGTGGCTATCACTTAAATCTTTCCTATAAATGAGTTGCTTTTTAGTTTATATGTGGCTGGGTGTGGTGGTACACACCTATAATCCTAGCATTTGGAAGGCTGAGGCAGGAGGATGGCCTGGAATTCGAGGCCATCCTGAATTGCATAGTGAGACCCTCTCAATCAGTTAATAAATAAAGTTTATGAATGGAAGTTGGGGTTGTATTTGGCTGCTCCTAATAGGAAGTTCAACATGGTTATTCTGTACACAGTGGTTTATTCTGTCCCATAACAGAAATCTGGTCTGGTATAATAATGTTATGGAGTCGTCAAAAACCCACAATGTCTGGGCACGATGGTGCATGTCTGTGATCTCGACCTGGGAGACTGAGGCAGGAAGATCACTGCAAGTTCAGCCTGGGCTATATACTGAGTTCAAGGCTAGTTGGACTATAAATAAATACACACAGATACATAAACAAAACCAAATCATGATGTGGCCATGATGAAATCCTTTTTCGTGTGTGCTGTACAAGGATGTACCTTTGGCGTACATCCTTGAAGCCACTTTGTGGTCCTTGATGGCTACAGGAACTTCAGTTATTGTATCTGAGGCTAAAAGAAGGAGGGATAAAATGACAGAAAGATCTCCTCAAAGCTATTGTCTGTTTTCTTTATAAATAACCTTCATTGGTCACTCTTCATCACTATAAACAAGTATATAAGAAAAACAAAGGAAGAAAGATTGATTTTGGCTGATGGGCCAAATTGCTTCTCACCCTGTGGAGAGGCAGAAGGGTGTAGCCAGGAAGCAGAGAGGGTGAAGAAGCCAGGGAAGAAGGGACCTGGGCCCAGATAGTCTAGTCCCCAAGGTCAGGACTGCGTCCTTTTCCCGTCACACTGCAGCCTCAGCAGGCTGAAGCCCTTATGATCCAGTTATTTTCTCAGCCCGACCTCTGAGCATTGTTGCAGTGGGGGATCAAGCCCTTGATAGATGAGTGGATGGGGAACACTCCATATCAAAACCATAACAGCTGGCGGGGCAGGGTGGCGCATGCCTGTAACCCTACTACTGAGAGGCTGAGGCAGGATGATCACCATGAGTTCAAGGCCAGCCTGAACTACATAGTGAAACCCTGTCTCACAAAATTTGAAAAACAATAAAAACAACTGCCTGGAAATCCTTTACCCTGTGTTTACACCTTATTGTACTACCTAGTTGCATGGCCACACTGGGCTGGAAGGAAGGCTTGGAAGCAAACACAGTATTCTGGCTGAGTTCATGGCCACGCTAATATATTTGGGTTTCTGTAATCAGTGAAGAATGGAAGAATGAATACTGAATGGTAGCCTTTGATCTCTGTCACAGCTTTTTTTTTTTTTTTTTTGGTACTGGGGATTGAACTCAAGACCTTGCACTTCTGAGGCAGGTGCAGCGCCACTGAGGTAAATCCCTGGTCCCTGTCACTATTTTTAATGAGCGGATAAGCAAATACTACTGTGATATTGGATTAAAAGTTTGTAGGTGTTTTTGTCTTAGTGACCTTTTTATTATAAAGACGTTATTATAAAGGAGTTTGAATTACAATGATTTCATTTAATTGCCAAATATTTTGAGTATAGCTAAGCTTTGACCACCACCACCACTCTCTTTTTTTTTAGTTTGGTTTGTTTTCTTGAGACAGAGTCTCACTTTGTAGTACATACTGGTCTTGAACTCATTATGTAGCTCTGCTTGGCCTCCAGCTTGTGGAGATCCTCCTGCCTCAGCCCCTCACCCTTTCCCCAGCCCCACAGCTGGAATTACAGACCTGCGTCACCACACTCAGCTGACCACCCATTTTTGAGGTGAACCTGGAATTCTTATGTCTAAGTCATTCTTCTTCATTTGAATTTCAACAGGAATGGATGTTGGGAAGCTCTTATCTTTCTGAGCACTTGAAGTACTAATTCATAGCTTTCTTTATAGATATATGGCAGTGTGTGGGAGAAATTACACCGGGCCTTTGCCATTTGGAGTGGCTTTGGTATGACCCTGACTGGCGTTCACACTTGTGGAGATTACATGTTCAGTGGCCACACAGTCGTCCTAACTATGCTGAATTTCTTTGTCACTGAATGTAAGTATCTCTAGTGCTTCTGTGCGTGGTTAGTTAGCAGAAGAGGCTGTGGGAAGGGTGTGAAGTCCTGTGACTAATGAGTGAAAAATCTTGATCTAAGAAAAGTGACTAAGGGCCAGGGATTTAGCTCAGTGATTTTGCCGCCTGCTTCCCAAGCGCAAGGTCCTGAGTTCAATCCACCCCCCTACCAAAAAAGAAAAATAGAATACCAGAAACGTGTGACTGAGAACCCTTGGAAGGAATGTGGTTTTAGAATGACCTTTCTGTCCTTCTTCTAGATACACCAAGAAGCTGGAATTTCTTGCATACCTTGTCCTGGGTTCTCAATCTCTTTGGGATCTTCTTCATCTTGGCCGCCCATGAACATTATTCCATCGATGTGTTCATTGCCTTTTATATCACAACGAGACTCTTTCTGTACTACCATACTCTGGCCAACACCAGAGCTTATCACCAGAGCAGGAGAGCAAGAATTTGGTTTCCTATGTTTTCCTTTTTTGAATGCAATGTTAATGGCACTGTACCTAATGAATATTGTTGGCCATTTTCAAAGCCAGCGATAATGAAAAGACTAATTGGATGAAGATATCTTTGTAATGAGTTTGTGATTAAGTATACAGTAGCTCTTGAGTAACTTTGCTTTCTCTCCTTAGATTGTTCCTTGATATGTTGCATTTTGGCTCTATATTGACAGAGTTTCCAGTTCTGAGCAAGGTTGTGATTTTCACAGCAAGAAAGAACAATGAAGAACCCTTACCTAGCTGTTTGAACAGAAAGCTTAAGTAGAAGGTTTTCTGCCCTTCATTTTAGGAAGATTCAAATGTTTGAAGTCAGGCTGTTGTTGTTACCATTGAGTATTTGTTTGTCGAATTTAAGCAAATCAGCAGAAGCAGTTTGCTGGTTGAAGGATTTTTATGAATTTCCAGCAATACTCTAGTTAAGAAAAGAGATTTTTTTTAAAGCTTTTTATCTTCAAAAGAAAAAAAAAGCTGTACGTACTGAACTAATCTCTGTGTGTGTCTAGAAAGTGATTTGTTTTATTGCCAAATATGTTTTGCCTTCTGAATTATCTTTAAGAAAGTGCACTGAGCATACAACATGCCCGAAACAAGGGAATGAAAGAGGCCATCCGCGAGGTGACCAGAGTGCCGACGAGGTGTCATGGGCCTGCACATTGATGTGGGTATGGGGCTGGCATTTTTCACAAAGATGTAACAAAAGATGCAGCTTGTATTTTGTTCTGAGGGTTCAACATGAACGTCGGCAAGTACTCCTGAGGAAAACTATGTCTGCATTCATACAAATAATGAATTATTTTAATGATATAGGTACATGGAATAACTCTGTGCTGTCATTGTCAGACCGATGACAGCCCAATGTAATACTTTTTTAAATGATGTTCTTTAATGAGCCATATAGGTGTGTTTTACCAGATGTTAAATTCTTACGGCAGTAAGTAGGAAAGTAGGCATGCAGAGTTTTCTTCTTCTGAAAAGAAATGAATAACAAGTTGTAGGTATAGTGTTAACTTTAAAATTTTTGAAATTTCTCATTCTTGGCCATCAGAAGTAAACAGTATGAGATGTATTTGGATACAAAAAAAGCTCTGTCGCTTTTCATTTGTAAAAACAATTGTGTACATACATTCTTTCTGCAGTGGGGAAACGATACAAGTTAACTGCTGTTCACAACACTAGAAATTTAATATCTTAAATAACTTCACCTCTGTAAGAACATTTGTCACTTTATTTTTAATGATTTTTTCTTTTTACCTAGCAGTTATGACAGAAGCAGATTGTAGAATCAGAACTTGACCCCAGCTGGTGAACTTAGCCACTTAGAATATCCATTGTGTAGTTTTTACATTCCATTTCTGACAAGGAGTTAGCAGAGGTGCTGGGATACTGGGGCCTAAAATTATGCCACAGGAAAGCCTGCTCCTTCCTTATCTGGGTGAAATATTTTATTTTTGCACTTTGAATTGTAGTCCTATTCCTGCATAAGCTACAGCGGAGCCTAAATGAATTGGGTAGTAAAGGAATATTACGGATAGAAATTTCAGCCAGTGTTGAGTGACCCTAATTCCAGTCTGTTCTGAACATAATTTATTTCTCACTTGAGAAACGATATCAAGCAATGTGAATTTTATTATGCTTTGAAATCTTATATTCAGAATGTTGTAGTATCTTAAATTGTTGGTTCTGTTACTTGCTAAGGGCAAAAATGCTAATGTGTCATCAAAACAAGTTGCATAATCATAAAGGGTGAAGGATGTTTCCTACGTTCCTGGGAAAGGTTTGACCCTTGCGGTCAAAAGATATGTTACTGACTTCTTTTTCTCCCCATAATGACAGAACAGGGCTGAATTTACCCGGGAAGGACTGGTGTTGGCTTTTGGTAATATGTTCCCCCAAAATTCTGTGGCAGCATTAATTTTAAAATGTTAAATAGCTATTAATGGTGAACATCTTCTTTCCTTCATGTAGTTTCCATTGTAGGAAAACCAGAAAAATATGGCAACTAATTTGCAGAGTTTTTGACAATGAGTGCCCAACAGCAGACTTCAGTGATAATTGTACAGTAACTTTTCAAGCTTGCATTTACCCGTTTTGAGAAAAAAGCAAGCTAGACTTGTAATTTATTGTTTTAACTATTACAAGGCAGTGTTTACATAAATTAATCATCTCCGGGCCTCTCTTGGAAATCTTTTTTTTTTTGGTACTGGGGATCAAACTCAGAACCCTGCACTTGTGACGCAGGTAGGGTACCACTGAGCTAAATCCCTGGCCCCTTTCTTAGAAATCTTTAAGACAAAATTATTTCTCTCATTTAAAAATAGAAAACTCATATTTTAGTGATATTTGTTTTGTCCAGAAATTTCCAGAATGTTTTTGTCTTTGTGCTTTTTTTTTCTTGTTAAAATCTTAATTGTAGTGAACATAGACTTTATGTTTACATTTATATGCAAATGTGACTGGGTGGAGAAAATGCAGGCCTTATATCTGCCTTTCTTTAGCCACATTTGATTTTACAGTAGCAGATTTGTGAGAGGCCTTTTTCCTTGGGAGCTTAGTACATAGAGGGAACCAGAGGGTTGGGTTTGGAGATGCAAACTGGAGTTTTTGTGGGAAGTCCTAGAAACGTGTCTGTGATCTCAGGAGCAGTGTTGCCTTTTTTCCTTTTCTTATTTTGAGGACCAGGCAGGGTAGTGTTACTAAGAGGTAATTGAAGTTGGTAGGGAGTAAGAGGTTTTTGAAGAAAGTAGATTTGATGTTACCCTCAGATAAATTTGGGGAAAACATCTTTTGGCTGTGCTGAACTGTCAACACAGTATCCTTCCGATAGTTCTGATCGCTGGCTCTGTTTATCAGTACCCTTCCCAGTGGAAAGCAGTGAGCCTGGCCTTAGTCATCCTGGTCATTTAAGTAAGGGTGGGCTGCTGATAGCTTGACCCTTTGCAGCGGTGATCTGCCCTGCTCTGTCCATTCCCGCAGGTTAGGACTAGGAATCCTGGCATTCCTGTGATTTATAAATGGGGAACAGAGGAGCCAAAATCCTTCCATAACTGGTAAGAAAGTCTATTGGAGGAACATTGATTTCAAAAGTATTATTCATATACTTACAAGGTCATATTCCTGACACTAATCTCCTTGGACCGTATTCAGCAAAAGGCAATTTCAAGGTTTCTAGATCCAGAATGCTGAAGGATGTTAGACATATTCTTGTTTAAACACTGATTGATACATTGTCTTTTTTGTAGACTGCTGTTATCCCATACATACTAAGAGTAATTACAGGATAGTCATTTGTCAGTTCTTGAAGGTATTCAGACATTAGAGATAAGAGAGCTCTCTTTTAGAATAGCCCATTTGCTTTAAAAAAAAAAAAAAAAAGTATCCGTTGCCTTTGGGCAATTTCAAAGCCAGCAGAACATGTCAGTTTTAATGACAGCTTTAGTTGGCAGTTTAGATATTTGGTATCTGTAAAATTTATCTTAAGATGGGCGTGGTGGCCCACGGCTGTGACCCCCCAGCACTTGGGACATGGAATCGAGGTAAGTTCAAGGCCAGCCTAGACTACTTAATGAGACTTTCTCAAAAAAACAAGTCTAGCCTGAATTCCCTTCCTACCACTATGGTGCAGAATGGTCAGGTAGCAAGCATTAAAGGTCAGAGTGCTTCAGGTAACCAGCAAGAACAGAAGAGGCGTTTGTGATTGTTTCCTCTGTCTTGAGTTCCCCTCTTGGTTCCCCTGTTACCTCACGCCAGGTGAACAACACTTAAAGAACTCACAAGTGACTAATTACTTTGTGTCAAGTTCTACACATAGCTGAAATCTGTAAGCCATTATCTCAACTACCAATAAGTTGTTTTTTAAAATACATTCAACTCGGCTGGGGATTTAGCTCGGTGGCACTGCACCTGCCTTGCAGGCACAAGGTCCTGAGTTTGATTCCTGGTACCTACCAGGGGGAAAAAAACCATTTGACTCCAAACTAACCAAAGAGCTTTTTATCCCGTGTGCTCCATGCCTCGGCTGGTGCAGCCTGTGAGCTGAACCTGGCAGGAGGAGTGCCTTGACTCCAGGCACTGTGTCCGCTGTAGTCCAAACTGCTGGTTTGTCCGGAGAACAGAACGGGAGTTCGAACATAACCAAGAGATCTACAGTTAGCAGGGCACGGTCATAAGTGTTTCATTTGAAAATCTTTCATTCAGAGAATCCACGATTTGTTAGAGCAATGAAGTGTTTCTAATGTGGAACAAGGAAAGGAAAAGTGGGGAAGCAGAGCGTTTGGATTGGAGCGGATGTGTTTGAGTGTGCGAATTCTGCCCAGAATTCTCCCTGTCCACAGAGAAACAAGTATTACCTAAGATGTGAAAGTGGTAGCCATGCCTTGAAGCACAGTATTGTACATAAGTAAATATCTTGATTCTAAATTAAATTCAGATTTAACTAATATATATTATTTTATATCTTTGTTGTATTAAAATGTTTAAAAACACTAAAAATAAAGCATTTGAAACTTGTATTGCAATTTCTTATTTTAAATCTTTGCCTTAGTATTTATTCAGGCAGGATCTTGTTATATAGTCCAGGCTGGCCTTGAACTGCTAAATTGTCCAGGGGATATGCCTGCCTCGGCCCCCCAAATGCTGGGATTATAGGCATGCACCGCTGTGCCTGTTGTGCATTAGCACGTCATGCTTTTTATATAGTGAACCTTAATTTTGGCTAGTGGTTGAGTTCAGACACTTCGTTTTATTTTTGGTGCTACTCAAACCCGATGCACCACAAAGCAAGCTCTCTACCCGGGTACTACATCTCCAGCCAAGCCCTGCGATTTGGAACCTGTAGTATCTCATCCCTGGCATTCACTTCTTGTTCGTTGTCCATCAGGTAAAGTTTGCCCTCCGCCCTGTTTGTTTTTTGTTTCCTTTGAGACAGGTTCTCCCTATAGAGTTCAGACTGGACTGGGGGTCCCTGTGTATCCCAAGCTGGCCTCAGCAGTGCTCCTGCCTCAGCTTCCTGAGTACTGGGACGACAGTTGTGTCACCACACCCAGCTTTCCCCTCTTCTGTGAGAGTTTGCCCTTATTGACGTTCTGAGAAAGAAAAATGATTTTTTTTTTCTTTTTCTTTTCCTTCTGGATACATTAGAGGTTTTTTTTCTCTTTTGCAGTGCTGGGGATCAAACCCAGAGCCCTGTGCATGGTGGGCACATGTTTTACCACTGAGCTAAAACTCCATTCCCTGCAGTGTTTCAATTTTGTTTTACTTGTAGATTATACAGGAAGATCCATCACCCTGTCAGATGAGCTTTGTAAACCATGGTGAACAAGAGAAGCGGAAGGCAATGTAATCCCAGAGCTCAGGAGGCTGAGGCAGGAGGATTGCTCTGAGTTCAGGACCAACCTGAACTACATAGCAAGACCCTGTCTCCAACACCCGCCCAAAAAAGATCAAATTATAAAAGGATGGAACTACAGTTAAGAACAGCATGGAGGACCCCACAAGAGTAGGTTGCAGAACCTGGACTGCTTACAGGTCTGTGCCCCCAGCCAAGGAGGATCAAGGTACTGAGAAATGACCTTCCAGCTGCTACTGGCTGGGGTAGAAGAGCCTAGGATACCGTACTCCCTGGATACAGAAGTCTCCCTCTGGTGGCCATACACCGAACCACCCTCTTGAGTGCTGGTCTGCGACGCAGAGGAGCTTGGGCCAG